CCAATCATTTGCTAAGCAAGGTTTGTCAGAGTGCATGTTCCGCCTCTTTTGTGTTTTCTAACAAAAGCCGCCCAGCTGGCTTCCTCTGCCTTACCATACCTTGTTCTTCCTGCTTTTATCCATTTTAGCAAATTTGAGACAATTTCCACATCTTTTATATGCGTGTAACATTGCTAATCTTAAAAGAGAATTGGTTAAGGGATATTTTGATAGGTTTTCAGATAAATAGATGTAAACCAAACACAAAGATGTCCACCTCTTTATGCATATTTCACACCTTTTGAATTTTATATGGTTTATATCTCTCTGCAAGTGTGTGTGTACCTGCATGCACGTCTGTGTGTATGTTTGTGTGGGCGCACTAGCTTCTGTGTGTGTGTGTGTGTGTGTGTGAGTGTTTTATGGTCCTGGCTGATTAAGCTTGGCACTGTCAGGAGTGGGTTTGTGTGTGTAATTAATGATGTGTCTCCTGCTCTCTCCCATGGTAAAGGCTAATAGGATTTCCCAGCCCCAGGCTACAGCGAGGAGAGGCTGTGCGCATGAGGAAGTGTGCTGGAGAGGAGAGGAGAGGAGAGGAGAGGGGAGGCAGATTGCGAGAGGGTGATAGGAGAGGTGACAACGCAGGAGGTTTGAGCAGGTGGAGGTGAGGGGTTACAGAGGATTCTGGATGGTCGGGCTGCGCTTGAGAAGAGAATTTGGGCTGCTGTGGGAAAATTAGAATGTATTAAAAGGGTAAAACCTCTGGAGAAAGAAACTGGTAAAAAAAGATTATAAAGTCGTTTGTAATTTATCATTTGATAGATTCAAATCTTGTAGTTTGGAGTAAATTTTGAGGAAAAGTTAATTATTTTTTTGTATTATGTTAATGTATTGAAATAATTACAAATATTAAAAACATTTGAAATATAATTTATTGGAGTTTATTTTGTCATCATTAAAGATATACAGTTAGAATATATCAAATGTTAATAGCCACACTAAACCCTTAAATGTTGCTATTTCATGTACCATAATGCAAAATAAAATAAAAAATCTTGTTATTTTTTAGGAAAATGTATTAAATAATTAATTTAATAACAAAGTGTTTAGAATAAGAAATATAGTTTAAAATGTTTAATTTTATAACAATTAATTTGTTTATTTTCAGTCATCATTAATGTTATATACAGCTAAAATAGATAAAACATTACTAGCCAAAACACTTTTAATAAAAACATTTAATATTGCTATTGCATGCACTACATTTCTTAAAATAAATTTTAGTTTGAAATATTTTCAAGGAAACATTAAATCATTTATTTAATAATTATATCATATTAAATATTTACAAATATTTTGAAAAGTATAAATATTTATTACAAATATTTTTTATTTTTTAAAAGTACTTTTGTTGTTTATTTTCAGTCCTTATTAAAGTTATATAAAGCTAAAATAACGTTTTCGGGTTTTTTTATGTCTGTGATTGTTTTGATTGTATTATGATAAGTTAACATGTTATGTATGCATCTACGGTAGAAACAAATTATCATATCACTATTGCATATACTGTATGCACAGAATAGAAAAGAACATAACAACCCTTAAAATAGTTCTTCCAAACAGGTTGAAAATGTGCAAATGGGAATTGCATTTTTAGCTGAATTAAAAACCCTGTAATGTAATTTTCAATCTGAAAAAATCCACAATCAATAATTGATTCGCACAAATTTGCGTAAACAACTTTTTAATTGTTCAGTTTCCTCTGGTATATTCAAGTTTTCTCATATAAAACCACTTGAACGTTTGACCTTCGAAGAGTCAGAAATCAAAAAGAAAATGTGCACATTTCAACTAAATTTTTAAAGATAATGAAACATCGCTGGAGGAAGGCTGATGAGAGATAGAGTAACCAAACCAAAGTAAGGAGGGATGCTGAGAGGCTGTGCAGTGAAAGAGACTTTCTAGGGGGTTCCTGTGCTGTGGGGATGATTGTGTGCCGGGTGGAGGGGGGCATTGTGGGATAGCATGGGACGGAGAACAGGAGGGAGAGAGGTGTGAGAGAACGAGCAGGTGATTTATAACAACAACAGAAGGCTTCTCTCCCCTCCACCACCACCTCTTCCCTCTCACTGAAGCAAAACAAGGAAATCCATTACAAAAAGGCTTGTGTGATAATGGACTTTTCTCTCTGTGTGTGTGTGTGTGTGTGTGTGCGTGACCAAGACAACAGATATATATGGGTAATAAAACTGTAAAGATTTTTTTGTGATATACTAGTGTGCCCATGAAGCTCTTGGTCAAAGCGTGGCTCCGGTCCGTAAGTGTATGTGTATATACAGACACATTTTCAGTCCCCGAGCTGCACGCCTTCTTTTCTTCACCTCCCTGAGATAAAGACCTCTATTCTACCTCGCAGAACGAGGGATGGTGCTGGCAGACTCCAGGGAGCAAACAGAGAAGGAGGAGAAGTAAATAATAGAGGGATATGGCAGGCAGTAATGGTATGGTGGCACTGAAGACCACGTTCTCCACGGCAGGAGGGGCTGCATGCGGGATGTGACCCGGCTCAGAGTCTCCCTCTGGGGGAGGAGACGGGTTGGAAGAGCCCGTGCCTTGCTCCTCTCACATTACCCCTTATGTTAAAACCAGTCAGGGGGAAAATTGGGGCCCTGCGTGGTCCTCCGCAGGCCCACCTGAGCCCACTGAGACACGGAATGAGGAAGGAGGGGGACCTGCAAGTCTCTAAATGCATGAGTAATACGAGTCATAACCTTGAAAACATGTTGGGCATGAAAGAAAATACATGTGAAATGCACGTTAGAATGTGATGGCCGTCGACTCCTACTAAGAGAGTTGGAGAACTTTGTGGTTAATTCAGTCATTTCTATAAATCCATTCAAATTTTAAATGTAATTGTTGATTTCTATTAGGAATCAGATGTTGCATCCTCGCGTTATATAACGGTTACACCTATAAAGCACGCTAAGAATTTATGCAATATGTTTATTCAGATCAAATCTTTGTGAGTCTCAAGCAGGGCAATCGACAATTTTTCTGATGTCGATCCTAGTCTTAACAGCAAAGATGTTTGTTTTTTTTGTTGGTGTTGTTTTTGTTTTGAGACATTTCTTTTGGTAATTTGTCTTGTTTGGTTTGCTGTAAGATTGTTTTAGTTTGTTTTGTTTTGTTTGGTGGTTTGTTTTGCTTTATGATTTTTTGGTGGTTTGTTAGTGTTGTAGCGTTTTTGTTTTGTTTTTTGGTTATTGTAGTGTTTTTGTTTTGTTTGGTGGTTTGTTTAGTGTTGCAGTGTTTTTGTTTTGTTTGGTGGTTTATTTGATTTGATTTATTAGACATAAAAGTAGTAAAATACACTCATTTGTTAAGGATAACACCGTTAAAAACTTAACTCCTAGCAACAAGTACATTGGAATTGTATACTATTATAAATACAAAATTACAATACATTTTTTACATTTACAACATTTTTGTTTGTTTTGTTTAGTGACTTTTTTGGTGTTTTGTTTTGTTGACTCTAAGATTGTTTTAGTTTGGTTTAATTTATTGAATGCTGCTCTAAAAGACTGTAGTACTGAATAAATAAGATTTTTTTTAGATTATTTAAATAGCTTTATACTCTTTCTTTGTGGTTATATAAATGCACAGTTTAAATTGTAAATTGTTTTTTTTATACAAATATCCCCCCCCCCCCCCCCCCCTTTATTATTTTTTAGTATTTTATCGTAAAAAAAAAAAAAAAGCTCAGCTTCAATTACCCCTAACCATAGGCACTTATTTGGTTTATAAATAAAGGTAAATAATTTATATTACTACTTGAATGACAAACTATATTGTATTTTTGTTTTATACAAGCAACGAGTAGTCTTTTCTTAAGAAATTGAATATAACCCATCTTATATACTCCCCTTGAGTACCTAATCCTTTAAGACTAAATACTGTAGTGCCGGTTTCTACATTTCTCTCTAGTGTCAAAACTAGTTAATTGAATTCGTACAAAATTATTATTATTATGCCCCCTATTTCCAGGTGACATTTGTCTAGACAATTGTTTTTCTTCACTAGCCCATCAGATGGCGCCTGCTTTCAGTCTGGAGGCTGTTCAGGGTGCAGTGGTAAGTCACAGATGTTGCTTGTCCCGTTCTTTTGTTTTCCCCCCATTGAGAAGAGAGACCTCAGCTGTTAAAGGAGATTCTTCATTATGGCTTTAATGTTCTTTTGAAAATCATTTCCATTAAAACATTTTTTTTTTTTTTTCAAAGGAAGGTATTAAAGCGAAGGTTAAATGAAGTTGAACAACGCACAGGCTCGTCAGGCATTTTTGAGAGCTTCTCAATGACCGATCACTGTGTGGGCAAAGGCCTCTATCCAGAAGACTACAGCAGGCTCCAATAGAGACGGGGGGGATGGGGAGCGATTTGGGTAAGGCAGATGTCTCCATGTGTTACAGGTGCATATGTATGTTTTTTTTTTTAATAGAGATAAGACAAAATATCCATAGTTGTTACTGATTTTGTCCTCTTTTGTCAGGGTGACTTCCTGTTGTGTGATGTCACAAAAACTAATGGTGATGTCATAGAACGTCAGTTAATTTCAAAATTTGAATTGAAATGTCACAAAGACTATTACTGAAAAACTACTTACTGAAACAACCAAAAGTGCATGTCCAGCTTCAAGAGCTTGCAAGCTGTTTCAAACCCTAAATCATTTACATTTCATTATCAATCTAATGTTTAGTTAACCCCGTCTTTGCTGTATGAGGGGCATTTTAACTGTTTAGACTTTAACATAGATTTATAGTGACTTAACATCAACTTGTTGGTTATTGAAGTTCAAGTGGAAATTATGACCCTAGGGTTCTGTAATAGTTTTGTATCAACTAGAAAATAGCATGTGTTGTAATATTTAATTCAGTGAACCTGAAGTCCAATTACGTATCAAAATCGGAAATGTGATTAGTGCAAAGCGTGTTTTGACGGCCATAGATTCATCAGAACACAGGTATACTGAGTGTTCATCAAAATGTTTAATGAACCAATTCATCGGTTAATGAGTGAACCAAATATGTTACAAATGGACCAGTTTTAAGACAGAAAAGAAAACATTTCAATAAATTGAGCCTCAGAATCTCTGAAAAGTAAGAAACTAAAGCCAATGAAGGATGAAAATGAATTTACCTTTAAGTACTAGCTCACTTCTGACCATCAAATGCGGTTCGACAACGTTTGCTAATCAGTGAGTTAAAGCAGTAGAAAACCCCTTGGACGAACATCTGAGCTATTATCATAAAATAGAACTCAGGAAACCATAACAACGGAATCAAACCAATGTGATTGGTCAAGATGACCACTGACAATACACATCCTTTGACAGTAGAAACTAAACTGCGAGAGGGTGCTCATTTGTGCTTGATGTCTTTCCGCCTCTCAGGTTTATGGTCCAAATATTGGTTTGCTCTGGTCGATGACCAGCCAATAAGCCCTCCCTCGGGAACCTATAGCACTAAGGTGATCATTCTGGGTAGACCGGTTTGAGTGGAATCCGCTCTGTGTCCATAGTTCAGAGTCTTATCTCAGACCACCTCTCTGTTCTACCAAACAGTGTTCTCCCCCATCTCTTGACCAGGATGGGACATGGGGCCATTGTAACTGGTGTTGTTGGCCAGGGGGAAGGGTGGACTCCCTGCAAAGCCACCCTCCCCCTGTGGATTGGGATGAAGAGGTCCGGTCATGCCTGGCTCGGGACTGGGGGTGTCTGCGTGAGAGATCATGTCCGTGAACCTTTGGTCGTCTGAGGGGTGGTGCGCAGAGACCGGGCCGCCCTCAAGGGGTCCTGAACCCGAGCCTAGGAGGTAAGGGGACTCGGCTGGAGACTGAGCTTGTGAGGAAGGGGGTCCGTGAGGGAAGAAATCGTAGTTGACCACTGGGCCGTAGTAATCAGCTTGGTATTCTGTGGAGAAAAAGAGTCCATTCAGTTACTGCTTCTGATATATAAAAAAGAAAAGAAAAAGATTTTGAGTTGAGTATGACTTGACATTTCATTAATTCACAAGAAGTAATTTTTTTATTTGATGCCCAATTTCATCTGTTTTTCACATTTTCTGAGAGGATGTATCAGAATAGTTTGGCTATGACCAAAAGACTCATTACGAGCATGTAAATAAACACGGAAATCATAGGAGGCATGTTTCTTTATTTTTCCTCACATATCCATCCTCTCGCTCCGTCATATCATTGCGATTGGCCTATATAATTAGTGCTACACAAAGTCATTAACATTCCTCCCCAATTCCATTATTTTTTTCCTGCAGTTGTGATACTTTAATGTGCTAATCAATCATCAAAAGACATTTTATCATAAAGAAACGCCACTTGTTCACTGAGTGATAGATCGTCGAATCATCAATGCCAGACCTCCAGAGATCAGTGCATCTATCTGTTCCCATGTTCGGAAAGCTTTTGCTCTGCTTTTTTTGAGGGATTTGAAATGTGCAATTTTCCCAATTAATTCTAGAATGGTTGGTGACCTTATTCTGATTGTATTGGTTTGTTTACCCATTACAGAAACGAAAACACAGCTTGCATCTTTGCCAAATACCTGTTAGTATGACAGATACCAGGTGTGTGAGTGTGGATGTGCAAATCCGATCAAAAAGACCAAGCTGGAAAGTCACGCAACAGGTAACACGCATGGAGGATCCTTTCAATCAGATTTCTCTGTATTCCTACGTGACTGGGACCCACTGCACAATTCTCCAAAGAACACCAGTGCAATCCTGTGTTATAGTTCTCATTTTTTGATATTTTGCTCTGATGTTTAAGAGACAACATAAACATGGCTTTTGGATTCTGCGTTAAAGCTCCGAGGAATGATGGGTGATACTGAAGCATCTTAGCACCGGTAGAGAAACTGCATGTAAGAGTCTTTGTGCTTTCAAAGTAAGAGCAAAACCCTGAAGTTACAGAGAATGTGTGTGAGGAACAGAACATGTTTGTGTGTAAATGTGTTTTGACAGAAGATTCTTTATGTACCTCCGTAGTAACTGTATCCTCCAGGGCCCATTATTTCAGGGTCCTCTAGTCTTCCTCCAAGTGGCCTCATTCTGCGAGGTCCCCTGAAGAAAGCGTGCCGTCGAGCACCGAGCGCGCTGAGCTGCTTCATCCTACGTTCTTTAGACCGCCGATTTTGAAACCACACCTTCGAGGCAAAACCACAATTATAAATGTGTGATTACCTCACAGAGGTACGTGATCTTCCTTGCATATTTATACATTGCACATTCCTATGATTTTCCATTTAGAAAATGGGGAAAAAAATTCCACACTTGTCCAGGTTACTTGATTGTTTACGGGTACGAGTAATTATACCGTGCACAACACCTAAGCTAGATTTTTCTTTAATCCTGACATGTCTTATGTTGGTTAAAGGGACATTCTTTCTTCTGTGGGACATAAAGGAAGATATTCTGAAGAACAGATTTGTCCATACAATGAAAGTCAATGGGGTCCAAAAAACTATTTGACTTGCATTGTAAAGACAATTTTTTAGAATATCATCTTTTGTCATCTGCAGAAAGAATGTCATACAGATTTTTCAGTTTTGGGTGAACTATACCATTAACAGTTGCATTTTTTTTAGCCATAGCAGGAGGAAAATAAGATTGCTATATTGCTTATTATATAAGATGGTACATACAGAGACTAAAAGAAAACAGCCTAGTCTTAATTATGTACTATCAACACTCCTGTTGGTTTAATGGTATTAGAAATACTTAATGAGGGAAATTAACACAGCATTCATTACTGGTCAATGTTAATCCGAAATATTGTCACAGTGTTATACAAGCTTTGAAATGTCATTCTATAAAAACATAATGTGACCAAATTAACTGAATACCAAGAGGATGGATGGAGAAATTTGAGCCTCACTACACCAGGTTATTTTCCATTGAAACTAAACACTGTTCTAAATATATTGGCAGAACTGACTATATTGCACACACGGACAAATATTCTCTAGTTTTCATGTTTATCCTACAGCTCAACCTAATAATGACAGAACCAACACATAATAATTGATCCGGCCCAACCTGTTAACTACGTCTTGTCAGACCTAAAATGCTACTGAACTGCAATGCAATAGATTCCTGAGATTTATATTCCTGTGGCAATTAATATGCTGTGATGATTTCACAAGTCCCTCATCGTTGTGCACGCACATAATTTCTGAGACACTGCGGTGCTGACAAGTATCGTTTGATCACGGCGCCGCCAGCTCATTACAAATAGACCTGATATAAAAGTGTGTGACAGATGCAATATCAGACTCATCACTGTCCAACATTGTTTCAATCTTTTAGCAAGACCAAGGCAATCTGATGTACCACTGTGCCGGTGAAACTCAAACATAACCTTTTAGTCAAAATAATCACAACCATATGCTTCAACAAACACCACAAGGGCCGTTTTTCACACTGTTGTCATATAAACTGCTTGCGCAGGAACAAAGAGTAGAGAATGATATGAAAATGTCTGACATAAGGTGACATTGTTATGCATGATGGTTCAATGTAACACATTCGTGTCTGAATCTGCATTGCCACTGCATAATATATGCTAACAACAGTTAGTCTGCTCTGGAGGCACAATCCTGCCATGTACGAAAGAGAAAAAGAGAGAGAGACTATATTGAGAGTGTGTTACAGAGACAAAAACATGTTCTCTACCTAAAACCACTTAAGCATTCCTCTCCATGCACAGCTAAGGCAACACCTGCTTATGGAGAACAATCGGCTAACTGTTTGGTACATTTTTATGGAAATGTTTTGCCTCCTCCTGAGTGAGCGTTGCTTAGGGATTACACACACACGCTGCTGAACCGGCATGGCTCCGGAGGGCTCCCTGCGCAGAGCGCAATCCACATTTAACACATAACAAATGAACAGGGACGTGTGGCAAAGGCCGTCTCCATTTTGGCTCAGAAACAAAGCCCTGAGCCTTGCTGGGATTCAGAGAGGGTTGTGATTTCTTGATGATGACAGCGACACATGAAGATGAGCTGTGTGCTTGAGTGGATAACTTTAGGCATCAAGAATCAAGTTCCCTTCCCTATAACTGGTTAGTGAGAGCAAGAGTTTTCCGTAATTTTTTAGTGTTTAGTCCTGAAACATATTTAGATGTCAATTACAATTTAGGAGCTTTGTGGAAAGGATTACGTGCTGATTATAAATGTAAAGAAAATGCAAAACATGGATTTATTAACAATAAGGATAAGAGCACATTGCCGGGTCCATATAAAAATACACCTTTGCTTGATAATGGTGTTGATCTTCACCTGGACTTTAAAGCATGGCTGTGTTTGTGTTTGACAACAACACCTCTCCAATTAAATTTCACCTCATAAATAGCTTGAGAAATTTATTTGAAAAAAGTTCTTAAATTTAGTAAGAACAGTTGACAGTAATTGCTGTTTGAACAGCTTGTCTTTCACAGTCATATTTTCTAAGCATGAACCGACAAGCCTATCATGTAGCTGATGTCATCTTGCGTTTTTTGATCTGTGCCTATACTACCTGGTATAAATCCATTGACGACTTTAACTGCTTTACAACTGTGAAAATTCTAGCCTGTATTTGGATTTTTGTCATTTTATGTATACCGGGATTCTAGACTGCAAATATGACAAAGTATTTGCATATAGAAGCATAATATCTTAGTAGTATGTTAATTAAATATTAACTTATACATAACCTGTTATACTATTAACAGGTATACAATTCTATCAAATAAACTCAGACATTCAATCATCATCCTGCACTTGAAATTTTGAAAAAATATTGAAATATTGAAAACGTTATAGAAATATCAGCATTCAAATTTCTTTGTATAAATGTCCATGTAGTGGCATGGCTCTAGGTCAGTAATAAATAAACTGTTACTTTTTTTTCTGTTCTTCTTTTTAATCATAGTCATATCCCAGTGGTTCTCTGATTGAGAACTGCCACATCCCACCACATAGGCTATTATTATTTTCATTTAGCTCGAAGTGAGACATAAATGCTTGTGATATAATGTTTAAAATGTACTTTTCAGAATGGATACGGTACATATCGTGGAACGGCCTAAATAAATAATAAAACAAATGCAAGTGTATTCTCACCTGTATGACTCGCATGTTGAGGCCTGTCTCCTGCGCGAGCTGCTCGCGGATGTGTCGCGTGGGCTTCGGCGTGGCCACGAACGCGGCTTTCAGAGTCTCGAGCTGTTTGGCCTTGATGGTGGTGCGCGGGCCCCGTCGCTTCGTGCACGAGTTCTGCTCCTCGTTCTCGTTGTTGTTAGTGTCCTTATCTGAGGATGTGGAATTGTCCGTCTCCTTCGTGTCGTCCTGGATCGGATCCGGAAGATCAGGCGATAAACTCCGGTCCGTACACGATGACACTTAAGCATGTAAAGACCAATGAGGGACATATTAGACTCATTGCAATTTTCCCCCCCAATGATCACTATAATAGCCTATAGGCTACTATCACCATCCTCTTGAGATAACAGTTGTAAGTAATAATATAAAAAAGTACAATGTTGCACCGTTCAGCCATTAATGTAGGCTAGTCTAATATTAATAGATGTTTAATTGCCCAATATAATTGCATAATCTGATATTTGATATATAGGCTAACATCAATTTGACACATTTCAACTACAAAAACAAAACAAAAACTACAAATATCATGGCTGACCATGACATGCGGGGTTGTACTATTTCTGGACACAAAGATTACACAAAATGGTCTTAATTTGACTATGTATAAAGTTGTTAGTCTATAATTAGGCCTAATATTATTACTAAATAAATGTTTGATTAAATGTTACGTTAAAACTGAATGAGGGCTTCAAGCAAGACCATAATATATATATAGGCCTATAATTTTTTTTTTTTTTATATATATATATATATATATATATATATACACACACACACACACACACACACATGAAACAAAGGAGAAAACAAGCAGAGATCACTTCTGCAAAATATCGGAGAAATTAAGTCTGGTTGTCTCTTGGGACAGGCTGCTGTGCTTGATAACAGCTTGTCATTGTCTGAGGAGCGGGGATATACGACTACAGACGTTTATCTGACAAGAACGCGCATGGACTGAGGAGAATGAGTTATGGACACTTCTCCATAGGTGGACAACACCAAACCAAAAGAGTCCTCAGCTTGCAATGAAAAAATGGATTGACAATCATATTCACGGACATGGACTAGCCCATCATGAAATCATTTTAACTAGCCTGGTTCGATTTACTTTTATTTACCTTTTATTTTAAAAATTCTAAAACAAGTTATTCCAAAAAGAAAATAATAATTTTGCAAAAATGTAACACTATAGGCCTATTCGCAATCTAATTACCGGTACGATTTATCCTTGTAGTGGCCTTGGGTGGATATATTTTTGTCTTACAAGTAGGCCTATGCATCAAGTCGTTCAAAATAAGGATTGGTGTAAAAACAGCACGCAACCTTCAAAAGACCATTTTCTGCATTAATGAATCTGCGTGTTGTACGTCCCTTTTAAATCGACTGGACGAAGGACTCAGTCGCTGTTAAATTAATTGGACTAGCACTGACCCACAAGTGGAGGCGATAATAATGTCATCTGTGTGTTGGGAAACAAACAGCCTGTCCGTGATTCTGAACACTCGTGAGCATCACAGTCACGGGGACGCGCGTAAATAGTCAACTCACACACCTCTGAATTGGGCTGCTCGTTTTCTTTCAATGGATTTTACATTTGAATTCAGCACACGGGCTCTGTTAATGTGCATTTACATCTTTGAAACAATAGAATGATACAGAGACCACGTTAGAACATTCTATAGCCTACTAGATGACAAACAAACACAAATGAAAATGTTAATAAAAAAGAACATTTGTATTGCTTCATTTAATCGCAAACGAATGAGCTTCCCTGAACAGCTTCGCCTTATGAAATCTTAAAATCGAGTTTAAAGCATGTGCGAAGTTCTTACAAATGTAATCTTTTATAATAGTGTGTTGGTTTATAAAAAGTCTATATACAATTTTGAACAAAAATATTTGATTTAATTAATAATGTAATGTGGTTTAACCATCAAGTAAATATTTCTATAATTTTCTTGAACACGTATTCGATATTTTTCGATATTTTCATTTTGGATTTTTTCCAGGTTAATTTTGAACTTTTTACTGAAAAGCTTAACTTGAAATTCATAGGCTATTTGTAATAACCTTGACAGTTATTAGGGTCTAAAGGTGTCCTCTCAGTTTTATAGATTTCATATCACATGACAACAAAATGGCTTCCTTCATGATGGTTATGCCATATTGACATTGATATGAATCATGTTTTTAAAGAAACTGCATCACATTTTTTTTTTTTTAAATAAATGAATAATAATAATAGCCTACTACCCAGACAGCAACATAGTGTCGGCCCAGACCTGGCCCAAATCCGGTACGAGTTAAACCCACAAGTACCAGATGTGGCCCGGATCTGGGCAGACACTATGTTGCTGTCTGGGTAGAACAATTACAAACTACTTAAACCAAACTTTTCTTCCAGATAATTTTCTCTTACACCACCAAGGCATTTTACTTTAAGCCCAACAAAAAAGATCTAATGAATTGAAAATGAAACCGTTAATATCAATCATCATTTTATAAGAATTGCCATTTTAATGTAATATTGAATAACTCAATAGATCCGGATAAAAAAAGAGCGTCACGTCATTGACCCATAATTCATACAACTGAGTCAATCTCTCTCTCTCTCTCTCTCTCTCTCTCTCTCTCTCTCTCTCTCTCTCTCTCTCTCTCTCTCTCTCTCTCTCTCTCTCTCTCTCTCTCTCTCTCTCTCTCTCTCCTCTCTCTCTCTCTCTCTCTCTCTCTCTCTCTCTCTCTCTCACTCACACTCACACACTAAATGTCTTTCACTTGTACAGCTCTATTCGTCTCTCTCACCTGAGTTTAAATTAACTTCTTTGATAGCGCTCGCGCTCAGGTAGTCCTCTTTACACACAAATTTGTTTTCGTCGATGACGTAGAGCTCCTCGCCCGTGGACAGCTGTTTGTTGCACACCATGCACGTGAAAACAGTTCAGATGGAACACCTTGCTGCGCGCTCTTCGCACGAGGTCGCTGGGCGAAATGCCTGCGAGCAGCCCGCACATTTCGTACCAAAACGCCTGTAAGGGGACATACAGAAGGGGAAAAACAACATTTTATAAGAAAAGAGTTATGGCATGTTTAACCTTATGACCATCACACAAGGTTATGTAATGGACATTGATGATATTGCATTCCAGTATAATGAGTCAATTATTGTTTATTTTACAGATACACCCCCGGGAACTATTTAATGACCTGACTGCAACTTATTTGACGATTAAGTAACTGTTTAAGTGTAATTTTACATCATGTATAATGTGTAGTATGTGCATTTTTATGTGTACTATTGTCTATATTGTGCGTGGGGCCTATGTGTTATGTGTGAGTAAATTGTGAATTCTGTCATATGTAATTAAAAATACTGCAATACGGATAACGCACAATTTCACTCATTGTGTCAGCTATGGCGTAGTAATTTGAACATAATTTTATTCATTTTTATAAAATATTACCATTCTGTATACTTCAACAGTAATTTCAAGTCACTGATAAATGGATATAATTATCTATATTTTCTATTTAGCACTTTAATAAACCATGCCATCAACTCTGAATATTTCTAAAGGAATTTGGCAGTATGCTCAAGATATAGTCGACATGCTCTAAATGAAGTGATATTGTGGGATTAGGCAAAACAACAAAACCACATTTTAGGTGTTAAAACACAAAAGCACAAGTCAGCTCACCTAATATTATTTCCTTAGCATGAAAAAGGGACAACAGAGTGTTTATTTACTCATCTTCGAATTTACATCCTGATTTTCTTTTATTTATTCATTCAGCCTAACGAGAGATAATCCACCAATTGTATATGTAGGCTACAATTGCTGATTTGTTAATCTGCGCACACTGGTTTCATGGAAAAATAGGCAGAAATAATATAGCCTAGAGACCGTGCAGTTTGTTCAATTTATATTTCAATGACAACGAGACGGGAAAGACCAGGTATACAGGCCGGTCGTGGTTGAGGCACGTCAAGCGCACTACTCCCTTCTGTTTCTCCCCTCGGGTTTATTTTAACACTAATGCACTAAATCTTCTTCCATTTGTTATGGTATCGAGTCGCTCTCGCCCTTTTCAAATGCATCTCTCCCAGTGAAAGGCCATAACACTACTTACACAACAAATGGACGCATTACGGGTGATTACTGTTTCGCCCCACTAATGGCTCCACATTCAATCGCCGAGCTCGATGGGCCCCATAGAACGTGATGGTCAAGGCCGTTTGGGATAACAATGGCACATATGAAAGCTTAAACACTGGATGACGTTAAATAGCTCAGGGAAATGTAAACTAGAAGAAAACATGACAGAACTCATTTAGCGATATTAATGACTAATAAAAATAAACAAGCGGCCTGTTCTGAGAATACAACAATATAAATACAGGTATACGCAACACAGGTGTTTTGGATGTTGTTTGGGGGCTTTAATCTTTTAGGAATATAGTGCATCATTTTATTACACGATTTAAACCTAATTCGTGTTCGGTGATTTAACTTGACTGCTGTTTATATTATTTCAAAGAGGTTAATGATATATTAACTTAATACGTTAATATTAATTAGGCTAGAAGTTACTTATTAACAAAATATTTAAATGATCTTGGCTACTTTTACTACAATTTGGAGGGTATTTGAATTTAAATGACTGAATCTATGTATTTATTTTTAAATATAGGCTATTTCGAATTTTCGTTCTGGATAAATGTAAACAAAACAAAAAAACTTTTGTTTTATATGAGTATTCAAATGAATGGTCCATCAACAATAATAACAATGCTTAAAATAATGACGTGTTTTAGAGTAGGCTACAATAAACAGTTATTTCCCGAACAGGTTTTCTTTTTTTCTCCCCACAATCATGTGCACAAAGGTTTTCAAGAGGAATTCTCACACCGAAAGCGTGTGAATACAATAAGCAATGAATGAGTAATCAATCAAAAGCTATTAATGAACGACGGAAGATCAAAGGTTTAACAGTACATTACAGATTTTAGGCAGGTTAATCCACAAATGGAGACTCATCCACATAAGAGCAAAACAAGGGTAGGTAAATCCTACATGACACATTCTTCAAATGAGGATTAGTCCAGAAGTTTGACGAGGTGAGGCAGCCCAAATACAAGCAGCTGCAGATCTTACCTGAAAAAGTCAATTTTGCAATAGAGCTTTCCGTCCCTTGAGAAACATTTTTCGGTCAGGTTGCAGTTACACTCGCAGCACTGGACACACTTCGCGTGCCATGCACGGTCGAGAACGTTTAAGAGGAACCGATCCAGAATGGGCCTCTCGCAGCCCGCGCAGTGCACCATCATTCCGCCCTGGAGGGGACCGAGAGCCGATCTTCCCAAACGGGCACCGCGCCTCGAATTGGGGCCACACGAATCGGTGCGGAGCAACGTCTTGGCTTCTTGGAGAGGGAGGCAACAGCAGAGCAAATGTTCCGTCTTGAGAATGATTCTCCACGACGCCTAGAGGTAAACACTCCGGACGTGAATGTTATGCATTATACCTGTCGGCATCCAGAAATCCACTGAATCAAAAAAAAAAAAAAAAAAAAAAATTCGTTGAAGAGAGTTTGTTAACAAAAAGGCTTCTCCCAAGTTTTCCTCTTGTTTTTCTGTTTGTTTGTGGGCTCTTGATCCACCTGCTTGTGTCCACTCACCTCACCGACACTTTTTTACATCACTCTGTTCCAGTTCGCGGGAGCTTCTCGCATCCGTATTCAGATCTGATGACGTTTTTTCTTGCACTTATGCCGCGGTGACCAATCACAGACAAGTTGCCATGGCAACGGGTTTAAATATTGGCACTCTCAGATTGCTTCCGAAGGTCTACCTTGGGTTTGGTAAAACGTCTATAAAGGCTGATGGTAGTAAAGGTACTAATTATTTCATCGACGTGCTTGCTTTTTTCTTTTTCTACCGAATTTCCAACTAGGACTGGATCACTAAAATCGGAAAAGAAGTGCACGTGTATTTAGTAAGAAGCTTTGCGTTTTGGCCTCATTCTGGACCGCGCATTCGGACTAGAAAAAGACGCTCTTCGATTTCTTTATAGACTTTTGAGATTATTTTTTACTATTTTTATAATGACTCCATTGCTCTATTTTTCTCGTGTGTAATTAATGCAGGATTTGAGAGTGCCTGTGGCTAACCAGAAGGTAATAAAAAATGGTTAAAAACGTCTATAAATATGTAGACATTTATAGACACTATTTAGCCTAAGTTTTCACGTCTTTTGCATGATGCGTAAAGAAAGATAAGTGTAGAAAATCCAAATAGCCATCACTGCGTCTTAATTCTGAAGGAGTGATCTGTGCGCGCGGTGGGGGATCCCGTTCTTTTATCATGCATAAAGCTATTTACAGGGAAATGCACTGGATTAAGATACTGGCTCGCATCAATAGAGAGTACCGGATCGCCCAGCAGTTTAACAAAGTGGCCACAAATCGAAGGGATTTTAAATATTTACCCAGGTAATCATTTTGTTAGCTGTGGAAATGCAAACATTACACTCTATAGTTTATTCGGGTGAATTAGAGACTGCATTTACAATCTTTTAGCAGCTTTTCAGCATTTAGTGGAAATGACTATTGTTCAAATTTAAACCTTTAATTGTTATTTAAAAATGTATTTACAGGTCGTGTATTCTCGTGCGTATGTTCACATGGATTTCCTAAGACATCATATATTTGAATTTATCTAGGCTATTAAAAGGAAAATGTATTTAAAAATAAATGTTATTGTTAGCCAATGGTATTTTTTAAACCACATTTCCCTATGCATTAGCATTACATATTTTGCCATTTTGTCAGAGTGCTGTGTGTTTGCCTGAAAGCCACCGGCATGTGTGATCACTGGAATAAATCCGGATCAGGCCACCCGTGGTTTGTCTACCTGCTTCCCTCTCTCCATGTAAACAATAGCACATAGTTTACAGTTGTGTTAGTCTATCGGATTAGAAAGCAAACGCAAACACCCTAACCAAAGCTCTGCCCCAATATAATTTATGCCTGGGACTATTTAAAACAATAAAATATACTACTACTACTAGTACTTTCTATCTATCTATCTATCTATCTATCTATCTATCTATCTATCTATCTATCTATCTATCTATCTATCTATCTATCTATCTATCTATCTATCTATCTATCTATCTATCTATCTATCTATCTATCTATCTATCTATCCCCTAAAATTAATAATCTATCTATCTATCTATCTATCTATCTATCTATCTATCTATCTATCTATCTATCTATCTATCTATCTATCTATCTATCTATCTATCTATCTATCCACCCCCTAAAATTAATAATCTATCTATCCATCTGATCACCCCCTAAAATTAATAATCCCTTTACAACATGCAGGGCTTAAGCAGTGGCTAAATAGCGTTTGGTAATATTTGGAGTCAGGGGATGCCGGTGGGCTGCATGCTGTAGAAAAGGAGAGCCAAGGGCGAGCTTCGGGCCCCCCGCTGTTCTTGGCAGGCAACAACGGCAGCGAGTTTGGCTTCGTTTACATTTCTAATCCCTTCGCGATGCACGCTATTTATTTTCTCACTAAGTATTGTTTTGTTGACTTCCCATTTAAGAAATCTTCAGTTCCCCCTGACGTTACCCTTCGCGAAAAAGCAAATATGAGTGAAATGCACGCCTGGGCTACTTCCAGTCATTTGCATATTTTTAAATAGCTAAATACTAAAATTAAAGGTGCCATCTGTTTACAGTCGCCCTGACAGAAGAGCCATTAACAGGCTGGCCTAACCTTGTCGAGTCTTTTTGGTTAAATAGCGAATCAGCCCACAGCTTGTGCGTGCGCACATATGCAGCCAAAACTATGTGAATGTGGAAGTATAGAAACGCAGCACTTCATTAAAATCTGATTTTAAGCGACTCAGAACCTCCACACTCTCATATTATTACCTTGTTTTATACTGCATCCAACGCGTTATCATTTGATGCATGGGAAAGCTAACATTTGGGACTGGAAACGGGTTATTGAGAGTCCATTCTTCTACGTCTAATCAATAGGCCACAGTGCTATGAAGCACTAGAGAAAGGGACTGAAGTCTCTGAGGTTCTGCTATACAAACAAACGGTAGCCGAGCCACCTGTGCAGACGGAGGAACTGTCCAGGGTGCTGAAAACAGCGGGAGGGATTTATTCTCGCAGTGACTAATGCATCCAGTCAGTGCGTGAATTATACAATGACTTTCATGAGGGTTGGATATTATAAAAGAATTTCGACATTTTAAAAGGATTTTTAGATGTCTACTTAATTTTTTTTTAAGTAGCCTAGATGTAATTTTCGGAACGCAACCTGTTCGTCTCGCGAAATGTTTACCCTATTGTATGCGCCACTAGCATTGGTAGCTAAAACAAAATTCTTAAGTTTTATTATCATATTGCGATATTTGTATTTCACTATGACGTACCCCACCTTTTGTTTTGTTTTTACTTCTGGTTGTTTGTAGAATATATATTATATTTATATTTGATAATTATTATGGCATTATATGAACATAAGTAGCCTATAATTATCAAATAATATAACTTATTATTACCTACTCACCTAGTCCAAAATGTCCTCTTTAAGATACACTAACAGCTTAATCATTCAGCAGCCGTTTAATTGGTGAATTGACGAGAAATAGTTATAAGAATCACTGTCCAATCAGTGAAAAATCCATAATATTTACTTTCTTAATCATGTTCAACTTTACAATCATCAAGTCAGAAAACTCTCAACACAAAAAGCAATTTTCATTATTATAAGAACGGACATTAAAAGTATAAGTGAAATAATTAATGCATTACACTTTCTTATGTCCAAAAACCTTTGCAAAACTCCAACTGAAAGCAGATAAAACGGAGCATTGTGATTCATTTAAAGGCAAATGTCCTTATTATCGGTCTCAAAGGCTTTGGGGGTCTATCAAAGATATCATACAAGTGTGATCTCTCGAGTTTTGCATAAACAAGACATGAATACATGCATAGTAGATAAAACGGCTCAGTGTTCTTTGTGTAATTTACAGACAGAAGTGTTTAGAGGGCCTACTTTGCGCACGCTTTATTTAGTGGACATTTCCACATATACACACAAGAGAGGGATAAAACATCCACATAAACAAACACACAGAGTGTATTTTATAAATAGGTCACTCTTTATTGGCATGGATGCTTCCATGAAGAACCTTCAACAGCCATGGAACATTTGCATTCAACAAAACGTTATTTGGAAAAAGGGTCTTTTAGATGATTTAAATATTTTTCACACTAAGAAAAAAATTGTGTGGTCACACTTTATATTAGGCGTCTTTAACTACTATGCACTTACGTAAAATTAGTTTATGTTGTATTGCAAAACACTGCTATTTGAGTTGGGACACAGGTAGGGACAGGTTTGGTAGTATGGGTAGGTGTAAGGTTGGGTTAAGGGGTAAGGGAAGAGTCAACAGTGTAATTATAGAAAATTACGGAAATGAATTACAGCTGTATAATTACATGCAGGTATTGTTTAAATATAGCCTAAGTACAATGCAAAAGCATGTATGTAAACAATAAGTGTATTGTGTCAAAGGATTAATTTAAATGTTAGTACTAAAAGCAAAACATGCACAGAGCGAAAAGGGATCGTGTAAATAGAAGAACATGAGAGACATGAAGATACACACTTTTAAATGAGCTCCACTCAAAACATGTCTCCCTGGAGACATTGCAGTGAGTGGCACACCTCCACTTCGCCTGCACAGACCTTCATTCTCACTGCCAGAACTAGCCTGGAGGGGCCAAGCCATCTCAGAATGTTTTCTACCCCGTGCTACAATCCACCAAGTCCACCGCACACACGGGCAGGCAGACAGACAGACAGACAGACAGACAGACTCTCGGCCCACAGTGCCATTAGTCTTGAAAGGTAGGAGAAGGGAGAAGAGGTGAACAGGCATCTCAAGCATTCCTATTTGCAACCCCCCCTCCCATCCCTCCGCCTCCCGTATCTATCCACCAAAGGGGTACATGACTCCCCAGGGCTGAGGCAGCAGGCTGGGGTAGGCCTGGAGGGGGCTGCGGTTGTGGGGGTCGGTCAGTGTGATGGATGGTTGATTGGTAGCTGTCCCAGGGGCCTCTCTCGCTCTCACCTCTGGCGCTGGGAATTAAAAGGCGGTTTGTCTCTAGCGAGTCCTCAGCTGCTGAAAGCAGCCCGGCAATTTCACAGAGATCAGAGAGGGCATTACCGCTGCCTGTCAGGGGAGCCGTCACACAGCCGGACACCACAGGGTGGGGTGGCGAAGGGGGGCCACTACTTACAGGCATGCACATGCGTGTTAATTCTCACATTGAAAAACACATGAATGCAGATGAGGAAAAAGAAGGACTCTGTATCTACGGTGCAAGACTTGGAGCTGATCTGTCTGAGTGGAGTAGGTGCACACACACACACACACACACACACACACACACACACACACACACACACACACACACACACACACACACACATTCTCACAGGGCCTTTTATTGACAGCCCTGTCCATCTCACTTATCTGTTCTAATCAAAGCTCTCTCCATTAACACCCAAACTACCCTCAGCACCAATGCGAGACCCCTATCCTGATGAGTATAAATACACACAGACATTCACACTTTCCACACTCTCACACACCCACTAAAACACCAAGGAACTTATTAACATCCACCAATCAGTTCGAGTTTGGTGGAAACCAGCTGGTTAGAAGCACCACTTAACTGTCCGCTATGGCCATGGCTGACGGATTAAAATGAGAAAAACAGGAATCATTTTTAAATACCAACTCAAATATCTTAACGCAGGGGGTCCACCTATTGTTTGATTAAAATATGCATTAAACTAAAATAATTTGAAGTTATTTTAAACATGAG